GCATACTTTTCCTTGGAGCAATGTCCCAGATAATGCCATTTTTAATCTTTCTCCTATTTAATCAATTAAAAAAATGAAAGAAAAAATATTGCTGTTTCGCTTTTCTGTTTGTTAGCTTGTGAACCAAAGCAACTGTGTAATTTTGACACCAAATTTTGTATTTTGGTTTTAACGTCAATGACAAACGTACGCCTCAGTTTGAGAAATTTGAAAGAATGTGACAGCGCCTCGGCCGGCATACGAGACTTACTTTCAACAGCTTCTCTTCAGTTACCACATGACTCACAGAGCATTGCTGGAAATCAAGATTCCCTCTTAAATGCCTCTCTGAAATAAGGACGTGGAAACAAGCTGTTGAAATGGCAGCTCCAGACAAAGGTCATTAGAAGTTGTGCTCTCCAGGGAACCCCTGGAGAAAGAGGACACCCCAAACATCTGCAGGTTCTGTGATATTGCTTTGAGCGACACAAAATTACTCTATTTCCTAGTTCTATAGAAATAATCAGGAGTAAGCTTCTGGAACTTCTTCATTAGACTAACAAGTGCTGCACGCAGAGTAGTCCTTCCCTGCTGCAAATTTACTGTCCTCTGTGATACAGGAGGCTGTTGGAGATCCATCAGCCCATCACACCATGCAAATACAAGGGATGAAGAGATGAACAGAGAAAGACCAAGTGAAGACTGCAGGCGGAGAGGCTGGTAGAGCATCCCATGCCCTAGTGTCAGTTTTCAAACTGGAGAGGTCAAGCTCTGCTTAGGAAGATGTCAAACTGCCAATTGTGAGAAATCTATCCCATTTCTGTCCTTCTGTCCTTCAGCATGGCTACCAGCCCATGGCAGAAGTGGGATGCTGAGCCAGAGAGGCCTCGGTCTGACATGAAGCGACCAGGCTTACATTTGGAAGTTGGGACATCCCTTGGAAGAGGATCTCTGTGTTGCTCAGACACATCTTGGAAAACCCACAAAGCAGCAATTGGGCTGGCAGAAAGGTACTGAAGTCATCCCTGCATCATATAGTGTGGATGAGATGTCCCATGTATATCCATGTAGGAAAATGGACAGTCTTGAAAGTTTAAAGATAAAATTAACATGAACAAACAAAAATATTCCTATAAATTCAAAGCAACCTTCTGTCTCCTTTTCCTGTAGAAATGAGCCCTATGGCACTTAGTGCTGTTTTGCAGGATTAAAACACCACTGGTAAGATAACAGATCTCACTCGTGGCAGGGAAGGAGGCTGAAGACATTTATGTCAGCCAGGAATACATATTCAAAATAGCCACAGTGCAAACAGACCCTGGAGATCATGTCGCCTGCATGCAGCAGTGCAGGAGAGCACACCATGGCACCTCCATTGCAAGGACCTGCACAGCACTCAATAACTGGCCAGAAAATACTTTCCAGAGCTAGATGGCTTGGGGTTTATTTCTTACACAGGGGAGAGAGGAGGAAAAAAAAAAAAAAAAAGAAGAAAAAGTGACTCTATCCTAGGCAAGAGGCCTCTTGCAGGCCAGTACACGTAAGGTATGGCAGCACATCGCACTCTAGAAAGAACCCCCAGGAGATGGGAGAAGGAGCTGCAGGCCTGCTTCAAGAGCCCTGGCAAGAGAATAATTACTTTGGCTTGAGCCAATGCTATTTAGCTCTCCTCCAGGAGGAGTAAATCCAGACACAGCGACAGTCCAATTACGGGAACAACACCGACTTATTCTTTTAATGCCCAGCTCCCTTCAGTACCTGCTAATCAAGTAGGCATCAGCACGCCTGGACAACAGGCCACATGTGCTCTGAAACTGCAGTCACTGATGACGGAAAAGCTCTTTCTTGCCTTCCTTCACCTGTTCTACAAGTCCAAAAGCAAAAACCTCTTTGGTTGGGGAAGCAATGTGTTTGCTTTCCTATGACAGTTGAAGGACCCAGGGGAAATCCCACTGGCATTTTGCTTACCCTGTATTTTGCTCATCTTTCTACCTCTACCACAAAACACGGGGAACGGCTGAAGCACCAGAAACCGCGGGGCATCCTCAAGACCACTCAGCTCTTATTGCCTTTAATAGAAGGCTGACTTTCTGAAGCAGTTAACTGCTATTTTATTAGTTGTTTTAAAAATACATTTTCACAGAAACTCGGCAACCGATGAGAACAGAGAGTGCTAGAGCGAGAAATCAGTTGTAAATAAAATATGGTGACAGACTTCATTTTCTGTGCAATATGCAAACAGCTCTCTGCGAGCAACATACAGATGAAGCCTCCAGTCCTCTCTCCTCCTCTCCCTCCCTGGCAGCTGCCACGCAGTCCGCGTTTCAGAGGATACAACTAAAGCGAGCTGAAGCTGCAGAGACAAATTAAATTGAATGCTTTGGTAAAGTGCTCTCAAAGCCTGGCAGTGCTTTCAGTAGAGCCAGGGAGATGGGCAAGAGCCACCTTCAACAGACTTGCTGGACACGACGCTCCCGAGGAGCTCAGTAACACAAAGCCCTTGGGGTTTCTTGTTTTCAGACATTATCATTGATCAGTTTTGAGTTCAATAAGCCAGCCCAGACCACGACTGATCTCTCTCCATCACTTCTGAGCACAGCAGAGGAGCTCTCCCTCCTGCCTCCCACCCCCAGACCCAATCTCACACTCCCCTTCTGATTATCCTGCTGTAGTGCTCAATCCACCACCTTCCTTCTCACTGTTTAGTGGCTTTTAGCTATTTGATGTAATCTGCAGATTGCTCTTGTCCAGACACTTTCTTAATGTTTCAGTTATTTAAACAACAGTGAGAAAACCAATATTGAACAGTCAGGTTTAAGATGTATTTTCCTCATTCTATTTTTTTTTATTTCCCAGGGAAAAAAAAAATAAAAATCAGAAACTACTGGATTCCTGCAAGGTAGTGTTTACTAGTAAGAGAGTAAACCAGCATGGCATAACCGTGAATTTGCCATCTAGCCACAGGGCAAAGTTTGAGAGTTTTATTTTTATAAAAGCAAATGCTTTAAAAATGAAACCAAAACTCTTCCTCTGGGGAATGACTGTTTGACAGTAGCTTCAGAGACATTACTCCATCCTCAATAACCATTCAGCAACCTCCCCAAATACCTAAAAGTCAGACTAAAAGTCCTGGAATGCTTTTTTTCTCCTTTTTTTTTTTTTTTTTATTTTTCCTTTTTGACAGCTCCTGCCTTGCCCACCCTTCACATTGTTCCTCAGAGCACACACCACCCCATTCTTTCTCCTGTCATTAGTCTGATTCCCCAGTGACTGCAAACACGTTTAAAAGCCCAAAACCAAGAGCAAAAAACCCTGTCCCTCCCACACAGCCCTCCAAAACAAGGCTGGCTGCTAGTCTAACAGAAGGTGGTCCCTTTTCTTTAGTCTCACAACAAAGAAATTAAACTGAAGCCAGAACAATTTCTCTTACTGCTGCCTGCAGAAGCACATGAAATTAATTTTGCGCCCCGTGTACTTGATTAGGAGGTTGGTCACCACCAGCACAGCCATAAAGCCAAAGGTATGAGCATTTTCTAAACCACATTCAGTAATGGGATACAACAGGTTTGAAAGTTCATTGTCATCTATGGAGACTCAGATGAAAAGGCCCTGCGACACAAGTGAAAATACCTTAGATAATTTTGGCACAGGCTAGACTAATTTAAGAAAGGAACAGCAAAAGTCTTAAGAGTCAGTTCTGAGACTCAGTCAAACAAAAAAGCAGATTAAAATCATAAAACAAATTCCCTGGCTTGAACTAGCTTTATCTCTCAGTGTTTGCTTTCACAACATGAAGGTCACATACATGTCTTTCCCCACCACGTCCATTTGACAACAAACAAGACCTCGAACAGCGCTTCTCCCCGGTAATAGATCCTCTGAAATGCCATGTTCAGTAACTGACGAGCTGCCTCTTTCATTTGTCCATGTTACAGCATGCAAGAATAAGGGGAAAAAAAATAAAGCACCTGTTGCTTTTACAAAATATCAGTGAATTACCCAGCTGACTCCCTGAACAGCACAGAGCAGGTAGCAATGGCGATCTACAGTAAACTGGGAAGTGTCCAGCCTTTTTAATTCCTGTAAACAGGTCATCATGAAACACATACTTACAAGATTAGATGGCCAAGTTTTCTCTCTCTCTCTTTTTTTTTTTTTAAGGTCCAAAAATAAAATGTCTCAAGTTCATTTGGACAGCAGCATGTTCCCCCTCACCCCACATTTTCTAATGGGGCTAAAAAATAACTGGAATTTCTGTTGACTTCCCTGTTTGCGACAAGCACCTTCCAAGCAGCTAGAGAAGCTCTGCAAATAAGGTTTTTAACTTGGTTTTCCCATTAAGAAAGCCTAGAAATGCCATTTGACACCACCAAAGGCTTCAGTTTCACGGTTTCTTGCCAACAAAGCAAACTTTTAAGTGCCAGCACTCCAAGTGCAGAAGACTTTGCTGGAACAGATTAGCAGATCACAGAAATATCACAAATGCAAGTCAAGTGCAGCAGGATGAAAAGACAGAAGGTATCTAATGATACTTGTTGAAATGTAAATGGCTTAGCTTCTCTCCTCATTGGATTACAGCATGCACAAGCCTGAACTTACTCAAGTGAAAATATAGCTGGAGAAGAGAGTTTGTACAGTCTTGTAACCAGTGAAGAGCTGGAAAGCAATGTTAATCCAAACACACGAATATCATATGAACACAACTCAAGAAGACATCTCCATTTCAGTTTTGAACAGCAGGTCAAATGACTCATTCAAAAAAAAAATTGCCATATATTAAAATGAGAAATAAATCTTCAAAAGTCATTGATCTGCTTATCTTTCTGAACCACTCGAAGCTAAGTCTAAACCAGATAAAGCAATAGCAATTATTCACTCAGCTCGAGTTTCAAGCAATCAAGAATTCCTTTTAGGGAAATGTATGTAGACAACAATAGCAAACCCATTGCTTGTAAACCTTCAAAACTTAAAAAAAAAAAAAAATCAGTAATTGCAGAAGAAAAAAACCCCACTGTACTTACTGGAAAGGACTGTGGTGAGGAAGATGTAGTCGGAAAAAGAAATGAGTCCACATTCTCCAAGCGCATAAAATATACTGTCCTCATCGGCAAACTTCTCTCGCTCCTGGGACAGTTTCTATTTATTCATCCAACCCACACCCCAAAAAGAGAAAATAAAGCAATTGATTAAATAGAGAAACAGAAGGCTTTATTTGTAACCTTACCACCAACAAGCCATTCCACATACACACACCCCTACTATCTCCATTCGTATTCAGTGGACCTTTTCCAGCCTTCAAATCTGTCAGAAATGCTCTGCAAAGATCAGTGCTTCCCCATCTCAGATGAGGGATAAGGAATTGCACAATATTAATTAGTTGGTTTAGCCTAGCTGAAATATAGATAAATGAAACTACGTCCATTTTGCTTAAACTTGTCTGAATCTTTGAGATGTTAGTGTTATGAAAATCAGATTTTTTAATACAGGATTTAAAAAGGAAATTATCATATTTCACTAAGAGCATTTTAGTTATACTCTGTTGTAGCAATAGCCAAGAAAGAGCTATTTCACATTAATATAAAGTATGATCAAAGTTATCAAAAACGTGTAGTTATCAGAAGCACACAATTCAGGAGCTCACTAGGAGGACCAGGACCGATATCAACCTCAATCTCTCTCTCTTGCACCAGTTCAACACCTTGTGTCTTATCAGCTAATCTCCCTTACTAAACTAAAAATCCAAGTCCCTTTGATCTGCTGAAGCTTCAAAGACTGAAAAGGATCCATAAAACTGTTAGGAGATACACACTGAAATCCACACTGGTGATCCATTTTAAGAACATAGCAGGAGAAGGTAGACACACACACACACACAAGAATATGAAATTAATATAAAGAAAAGTAGGCATGGATGAGGTTATTACACAGAAACCAGGTCATGCAAGCACAGAAGCATGGTGAAAGCAAGGCTGAATTTAGGAACAGTTTTAGGAAAAACCACTGACAAACACCACCACATGGGGGTCCAGCTACACAACTGTCCCCCACTGTTACCTCTGTCTAGCGGAGATCCCATCATATACAAGATAAAGGAAAGAAAACTGGTTAACCGACAATAAAATAAGCAGGCAAAACATAACATCAAGTTGAACTGTTAGACTTGCGAAGAGCAAGAAAGTTTTGAAGCAACCAGGTTGTTGCTTTGACTGGGCACCATTAAGAAGCCTAAGACATCCCAGCAAGAGTTAGCACGTAGCCTCTCTGGGTCAGATCCACTGTCTGCAGCTGATGTCTCTCATCCACCTCAGGTTTGTTCTTTGTTTGTTTGGGGTTTTTTTGAGAGAACTCACCATTGTATGTGACTGCAGAGTGGGGATGAGCTCAGCTAATAATTTAGATGAAAATTTAACCCGTATCTGGCTCGGAAACCACAAGAAAAGAGACAAAAATAATCATATAGATCACCAAAAAATACAGTTTCCAAAGAAAAGAAGTTCAGCTCTATTGATCAAATAAAACTCTTCTGAGTAGCTCTGCCTTTACTATCTGGAGAGAGTCAGGAATTTAATAAGAGACAAATCACTAACAGCAGACAACATGCTAATGGCATTCATTTCATGCAAGATAACTGCTATTTATGCTTATGGGATACCAGGCTGAAGTATCATTTACTGAAAAAAAAAGTTTTTGCTTCCCTTCCCATCAAGATGGATCCGAAGCAAAATTACACTGATGCTTATGTTAAGGACAGATAAACAATGTCTGGTTTTCCTTTAAACTGAAGGGAGTATTTGTGGAGAAAGTAGTTTTCTGCAATTGCTGCCGGCAGTGTTGCCAGTAGCATCTCACCTGCTCGTGTGATTTATTGCCTCTTCCTCCGATTGCCTGTCTTCAGCAGCGTTTATCATAAACTAGCTATTAGCATCCTACTTCACCTGCTCAAAGGATCCCATGAAAAAGTTCCAGAGGTTGGTTTATTATTTTTTATGGCTTTTTTTTCTGCACTTAAAATTCATAGTCGACATCAAACCACTCAAAATATTCCTCATAAGAGGAAAACCACATCCATAGAGTAACAATAAAAGAAGTTATTAAGATAGCTGCTTTCTGAAATACAAAGGTGTAGACAGATGGGAGGGAGAAGAATTTACTCATTTGCATCTTACTTCAAGCAAGCAAAGTAAAAATTTTTATTTATTTTAAACAAGCATCTACTTGTCAGAAACCTGGGGACGGGGAACATACGCTGTGACTATGGTGTTCAGCCTGCCTACAGCTAATAGGAAAGGGATTTCCCCCACTGACCTTAATAGAAGAAAATAACAACTGACCTGATCAGTAAGATTTTCAGGCTCCTAGCACTGGGAGAACATAAGTTAAAAAAAAAATTCACAACTCTCCCCTTTATTTTCTTCTGGCTCACTGAAAAGCTGCATGTTTGATTGCTTTCCATGAAGTATGTGGGAAGCTCACCCTGCTATGAGAAAGGATGCAAGCATCCTTCTCAGGGGTTGCTCCTCACCATGAAACATTATATTCTACAGAATTATATCATAAACCCCAGGAAAAAAAACCAAAATAAATTAAAAAAAAAAAAAAAAAATCAATCTACCTACTTTACAAAGCACAACGTGGACTGTTGTGATCCCTCAAAGCTCAAGGTGGAAAAACCCAAAGTCAGACCTCACATCTAAAACCACTGTCTGTAGACCCTGAGCTTCTTTTCCACATGCTACTTTCCTTCCAGCATACTCTACCATCTTTTCTAGCCAGAAAGATAATGCACGCAATCAGAAAATGTAGGGAAAAAACCCTTTCCAAGCCTCCATCCTCTTTTAGGGACATGTCACCTTCACAATTAGTTATCCACACAATTTCAGGACAACTTTCACATTTCATACCCTTTTGTATCTGAACACAAGCTGATTCTCAAAAAGCTCAGTTAAAACAGTCAAATGTCTTACATGGAAGACTTTTTTTCTGTATTAAATCCATTCCCAAAAACAGAGTAATTGGTTAAGATCATTCAGCACACCCAAAAAACATTCAAAACTGAGCATTCACAAGTGAGCAAGCCACGGGGAAACAACTTACAATTATGATGTATTTTTTAATCGAGCAGTAGATTCATATTAAACAAGCACACAAATGAGCAAACATCCAAATTAACAAGTAAAAAGACATCTAAATATACCATTGCTTTCAGCACAAGCATGGCTGTGTAGGTTCAGTGAAAAGCCACCAGTCCAGTCTTAGTGGACTAAAACTTATTACAGGCATTCAGGCAGATTTTGTTACAATACCAGACATTGACAACAGGTAAAAAAAAAAAATAAAAGGTAATTGTATTTCAAAATACAAAGCTTGGTTTGCCCTTTCCAGCTCAGGCTCCAAGCCCAACAAACAGCACCAGAACATGGGTTGAACATATCAATAACAGTGACCAGCCTCCCTCAAACCCGTGTGCTGTAGAAAACCAGGTTGCATGCCATATGCAGGCAACTCCCCAGACTTGTGTTACAGGCTGGCTGCAAGCAAGCAAAGCACCCAAAGATATATCACAAACTTCACATTCTAGCCCAAAACTGATCTACTGCTGGAGCCTCCCTCAAGCCAAGCATATGGTACAGCTCTCAGGTAACAGAATTTGGGGGGGGGGGAAAACCCAACATTAATCCCTTCCATTCCTTGCCAAATATTACCTTTACTTTGGATTTTAAAATTATTTTCTCAGAGCTGAGTGAAGAGTGAAACATGTTAATACTTAATTATGCAAGTCTGAAAAAAAAGATGTATTTTTGCAAATTAAGGGATGCCTTCTCTGCAAAGGCAGAGACAGATGCCAAGGTGCAGTGCTGGTGTTTGCTCTGCATTCCTAACGCACATTTAGAAAAGCCTTATCAGCTAAATCCTTGCAGCTCCACTTCATTTTGCATTTCAGAAACTACTTATTGTGCAGCACTTAATTTGCCACTTTGGGAAGAACACATTCTCGGTAAGTCACTTAAGAGTTGACAGTCTGTGTTTCAATCTGGAGAAGAAACTACACTTTTGGCACATTTATTCAAATAACTTGTGTAGGTTTCAACATCACCTTTTAACTTAAATTCCTGAAGCTTTGGTTCATATATCAGCCTTATGTGACCACTCCACAGTGACTTATGCCTTCCAAAATGACAATAAATATCAAAGTGCATGCAAGATAACAAGTATTTATCCAAAACCAGAAAGTAAATTTGTAAATTAATAAGGAAATTTAGATGAAGCATAACCATCTTTTATTGACAAATGTCATCATACTCAGTTTGTTCCTTTTTAAAAGAAATACTTTAAGGTTACCAATATTGTGTAAGCAAATACAAAACCATGAATGTTTCAGTGAAGTCACCTTGCTGCAAAGCATTTCTCTTTCAGTCCCAACTGACCACCTTCAGTTATGCAAACCATTTAGAAGACATCTATTAATGTATTTCTTTACAGTTAGCTGTAGGCATATAGGAAAATAAGTTAAAATGCTCTATGTTCAGCGTTAAAAAGAAATATTATCTTTTCCACAGTAGGAGTTTCCAAAAAATCTGTGTTATAAGTTGGCCTAATATAGACAATCCTTGTTTCTCAGTTTTCTGGCTTTATAAGGTAAAGATGACCTTCTGTATTATTGCAATTTTGTATATGTGTCTCTTTACAAATGAAATCTCTTTAACAAGAGGAAAAGAACCCCATGTTAGGACTTGTGCCCATAACATTAAGCAGTGCGCGTAGACATGATGCACTATTAGTCCTTCCTGCTTGCACACGGCTTGATGCCTTGGGCTTAAATCAGTAGACAGCACCCTTATAAATAAAAAACTATTAGGAATCCTTCTAAGGATGGGAAAACAAATCTTTTCATAAAATTTATTGGTCAATCCATTTAATTAATGCATTTTAAACACTCTTTAGCACCTACCACACAGATTGTTTGACATCGTTAAAAATATTAGCTAGCACCTGCCATCTCATTAGTGCTACGCAACACTTAAATGTGCAGTGACGTGGCTCCTATTTGTCTGGTCCAGCAGAGCCTGCGGGACAGCACTGTGTTGGCACGGACTCCTGTGCTCCTTCCCGAGCAAGGCTGTTTAAAATCTGGGAAA